TCATGTTGCATAGGCTCCTATGATGTAAGTCAGGGGCCCCACCTGCTAGCCTGCTCCCTAAAATATCACTGGTTTGCTCATTTCTATATATAGGGTGCCTACATTCTGCATGGCAACATGTGCAAATGGCTTTAGATACCTATTAGGTCCATAGATTACCATACTTTTAAAGCCCTAAACGGCCTCGGTCCTGTATACCTGAAGGAGCGTCTCCACCCCCATCATCCAGCCCAGACACTGAGGTCCAGCTCCGAGGGCCTTCTGGCGGTTCCCTCATTGCGAGAAGTGAGGTTACAAGGAACCAGACAGAGGGCCTTCTCGGTGGTGGCACCCGCTATCCTATAAGCAGCTATCCTATTTTTTAAAGACATCTGAAGGCAGCCCTGTTTAGGGAAGTTTTTAATATTTAATGCTGTATTGGGATATTTAACACTTAATTGGGAGCCTCCCAGAATGGCTGGGGAAACTCAGCCAGATGGGCGGGGGATAAATAATATTTTTTAAAAAAAATATTATTATTATTATACTGCACATATTCAACACAAAAAACAGTGATAATTTGTTGTTGACAGTGGACAGCTGGACATATAAAGGGCCCCATTACATTCAGTAGCTTAGGGCCTCATCAAACCTAAATCTGGCCCTGCCCGGAAAACTGCAAAGTGCAGGTGGCTGGTGATGAGATTTTGCAGCATGGGAAGAAAAAAAAAAAACTTAAGAAGTGCAATGACACCCCTGCACCACCACCCCATGAGAAAGCTCCTCTCCCCTTGGTAATTTTTGAAGGCAATGCCTTTTGCTCATTTATCAAGGGAGAACAATCAAAAACCATAGGGTAAAATTCTGGCACAGCACTGGTTATCGTAAATAGGATTTCTTGCATAAGCCATAGGTGAATGAGAGCCTCGCTCCCTGTTAGCATTACACACCACTGGGTCAATCTTCTGTGTTAGCTGTTAAATATATATTGGCTAAAACATATAGCTGCATAACGGAGCAAAGCAGCACAATACACAATAACTTTTTGTGTAAAAACGGCCGATGTGCGCTGCGCGAGGACTTCGGCACTTGAAGTCAGGGCTCAGGGGCAAATTCAAAGGGGCTCGTGTTCAGCGAGAGAAACCACTGAGCACTTTGGGCGTGGCCATGATTTTGTTTGCACCACCAAGGGAGGGAGGCCGGTGGAAAAAGTGTTGGCACCTTGCTTGCCAGAGATAGCACTTTGTTTGCACCTGCAATGCTGGAACAGCTGCACATCGGATCAAGGGCAAACATGGACTCCATTGCCAACAGCCTGATCAATGGTGGGCATTCCACTGAAAGGCCAACATCTAGTGCATCTTTAAGTGGGACAGGCTGAACACACCTCCAGTTGACTCCACGTAATTGGCCAAAAGACGCCTGCTTCTTGGGAGAAAAGCGATGACAAACCTATTTTTCATTTCAATTTCTTTATTCGACCGATAGTCAGAATTAAAACATTACACAATAATTATAAACTATAACATCATAAGTTACATAAGGTACATAAGTAAGGTAGAGCCACAGTACTAGATCTCTCACAGATAACCCACGTCAAAGCATTCAATTATACGTTTCCGACACTTGAGTGCCAGGAAAAGAAATTTAGCCACTGACAAGGTTGTTTTCCCAGAAGACTTATTTAGCAGATATGCTGTCTGCTTTCCTCTTTGTCGGGAACTGAGCTGGGGTAAGTATGGAGTTATAAGATACTGTCTTAAATCGTTGTAGAAGGGACAGCTCAATAAAATGTGCTCTGTGGATTCTACCTCACCCAATGCACAGTGGCATAATCTCTGGTCATATGGGACTCCTCCATATCTTCCCTTCAGGACCGCCGAGTCAAGAACATTCAGCCTAGCCGCAGTAAATAGTCTGCGGTATTCCACATAGTGGATATCCGCCAGGTAGCGAGCTGGGGCAGCCCGATACAACTGCTCCCCAGAAACAACCCAGGTTTCACACGGGCTATGTCCTCCTGTCTGGCAATATCCCTTAATCTTTGCGCGATCACCGCCTTTGCGTGGCTATACGTCATGGACTCTATATAAAGGGAGGACAACCCACACTTCTGCACTTCCTCCACTATCTCCCCTTCCCATGGAGATTTAAAGTTATCCCTCAGAATCAAGGGGGCCAAACCCACCGGTCTGAAACAGAGCTTGAGCCATAGCCATAACTTCGCTTTCAGGGCCACATACCTAAAGGCTTGGCAACCGGTTTCCAGCCTCATGATCGCACCTGCCACAGAGGGGGGGATCCTGAGTATGGCCCTGAGGAATTGGGTTTGGACGATGACAAACCTAGACAGCATCTTCAAAAGCAGAGACATCACCTTGCCGACAAAGGTCCGTATAGTTAAAGCTATGGTATTCCCAGTAGTGATGTATGGAAGTGAGAGCTTGACCAAAAAGAAGGCTGATCGCCGAAGAATGGATGCTTTTGAATTCTGGTGCTGGAGGAGACTCTGGAGAGTCCCATGGACTGCAAGAAGATCAAACCTCTCCATTCTGAAGGAAATCAGCCCTGAATGCTCACTGGAAGGACAGATTCTGAAGCTGAGGCTCCAATACTTTGGCCGCCTCATGAGAAGAGAAGACTCCCTGGAAAAGACTCTGATGTTGGAGAAGGGGACGACAGAGGACGAGGTGGTTGGATAGTGTTCTCGAAGCTACCACAGCATGAGTTTGACCAAACTGCAGGAGGCAGTGGAAGACAGGAGTGCCTGGCGTGCTCTGGTCCAGGAGGTCACGAAAAGTCGTACACGACTAAACGACTAAACAACAACAATTGGCCAAAATACACACAACATTAAATGCGTCTTAGCATTTTAACATGTACTTTTAAAAATGCATCCACTGAAAGGGCAATGATAAATTGAGACCACAGCATGCTGGTGGCAGGGCAGAGTTGGGGGTGGGTGGGTGTTAAACTGGCTACAGTTCAAAGGGAAATCCCTCTACTGAAGCAGTTTGCTTTGGGGGTGGGGAACTCCACACAGCTACCCCTGGGGGTTTCCTCCCAAGGCAAATAGCACCTTTGGAGGAGCAATTTGTCATCCGAGCTGCAGCAGACTGGGATCTTTGCCTTCTAGAACTTAAAACCACTCCTCAGCAAGTGTTGAGAAACGCTGGAAACCAGAACACTGGCCAGGGCAAGCTTTGCTTTCTGAAGGTGGCTTGCCTCTTGATTAAACGGGGATTTGCAACACCCAAGGCAGAGGTGTGAAAAGTTAACCATTTCACCTCCGCCTGTTCTCATGACCTCCCAAGATCAGGACAGTCCAGCGACATAACGCTCTAACTTTGGGATCGGGTTTGCAGTCCTGCCGTTCCGACAGCTGAAGGCAGCACATGCCGTCCCGATCAGCAGGCAGATTCATGACACGAGATCTTTGTCTTTGCATAAGGAAGCCTGAGGATTGGCAAGCAATTGTAGCAGTAAGACAACTCGCCCTCCCAGCTGGACATGAATAGAGAGGAACCCAGACCAAATACTACGTGTGGTAAAGGTAAAGGGACCCCTGACCATTAGGTCCAGTCGTGGCCGACTCGGGGGTTGTGGCGTTCATCTCGCTTTATTGACCAAGGGAGCGGGCGTAAAGCTTCTGGGTCATGTGGCCAGCATGACTAAGCCGCTTCTGGCGAACCAGAGCAACACACGGAAACACCATTTACCTTCCCGCTGGAGCGGTACCTATTTATCTACTTGCACTTTGACGTGCTTTCAAACTGCTAGGTTGGCAGGAGCAGGGACTGAGCAATGGGAGCTCACCCCGTCGTGGGGATTAGAACCGCCGACCTTCTGATTGGCAAGCCCTAGGCTCTGTGCTTTAACCCACAGCACCCCCCGTGTCCCTTACTATGTGCGTTACAGGAGACCTATCAATGGTCGCAATTCACAAGCCACATGCCACAGGATCAGGCAGAACTGTTTCCTGGTCCCACATATGCTGATCAGATAAAACATTTAGCAAAGGAAAAAAGAAAGGAAAGAAACAGACTGTTTTGGTGACCAAACCAACCTCCCTTTGCCCCTCAACCCAGCAGTATTTTTAAAAAGCGGCAAAGCACTTCAATCCGATTAAGCTGTGTTCAAACTGCAGTAATTGGGAGCAATCTAGTTATGTAAAGGGCTCCCCCACAGGGTGCCATGAGGGTTTCCTACCCACCTAAAAATAGATCCAAGATTTAGGCAGAACTTACCATCCTGATTTAGACTGACCCAAATACAAGCCATAAAGGAGTGTGCATTGTACAGTGAACTGGAAGGGAATGAGAGGGGGGGGAGAGAGAGAGAGAGAGAGAGAGAGAGAGAGAGAGAGAGAGAGAGAGGGAGAGAGAGGGAGGGAGAGGGAGACCATGATCGCAGGAGCAAAAGCCTATCCCATTTCCAAAGCCTGTTAAGTACACAGGTCCAGAGATTATGGGTGAGGGAGAAATTTGATTCAGTTTGCACTTTACAGTGGTACCTCGGGTTACAGACACTTCAGGTTACAGACTCCGCTAACCCAGCAATAGTACCTCGGGTTAAGAACTTTGCTTCAGGATGAGAACAGAAATTGTGTGGCGGCGGCAGGAGACCCCATTAGCTAAAGTGGTGCTTCAGGTTAAGAACAGTTTCATGTTAAGAACGGGCCTCCGGAACGAATTAAGTTCTTAACTGGAGGTATCACTATACTGAAAACATAATTCACGCTTCCCGAAAACCATATCTGAACCAGAGGGCAGCTAAGTTTCTTCTTAACAATTTAAATGGCTTATTTTAACAGGTATGTGGTGGCATCGGAGAAAAAGGAGAAGGAAATAACCAAGAACAATGAAGCAACCAAAGGGCATGAGTACAGCAAGTATACATAAAAGCAACAGAGCTGTGCAGAGTTTGGAACAATAGGAGTGTAAAACATAATCACAGCATTGTAGAGTTGGAAGGGACCATGAGGGTCATCTAGTCCAACCCCCAGTAACACAGGAATCTTCTGTCCAATGTGGGGTTCAGACCATGTTCCTAAGATTAAGAGTCTCATGCTCTACCGACTGAGCTAGGAAGGCATATGTCCATAACAAGGCTAGCAGAGGATTAAAACATTTCCCAAGATACGTATGGAAAAGGCAAGCAGCCAGGGTAAAAGTTAGAGGCATTTCCAGACAAACTCATGCTCAGCAGGGACCATATTAAGATGTGGGCAATGGTAAAGCAGAGACATCACCATTCCAACAAAGGTCTGTATAGTTAAAGCTATGGTTTTCCCAGTAGTGATGTATGGAAGTGAGAGCTGGACCATAAAGAAGGCTGATCGCCAAAGAATGGATGCTTTTGAATTCTGGTGCTGGAGGAGACTCTTGAGAGTCCCATGGACTGCAAGAAGAACAAACCAATCCATTCTGAAGGAAATCAGCTCAGTGCTCACTGGGAGGACAGATCCTGAAGCTGAGGCTCCAATACTTTGGCCACCTCATGAGAAGAGAAGACTCCCTGGAAAAGACCCTGATGTTGGGAAAGATGGAGGGCACAAGGAAAAGGGGACGACAGAGGACGAGATGGTGGGACAGTGTTCTTGAAGCTACCAGCATGAGTTTGACCAAACTGCAGGAGGCAGTGGAAGACAGGAGTGCCTGGCGTGCTCTGGTCCATGGGGTCACGAAGAGTTGGACACGACTAAACAACAACAACGGTTGACCTATGCCATGAAAGTCCACCGGACAGCTGCATAATGCTCCGGGTTTCACACCATCCCACAAAACTCAGATGGTGAGTTTTTCCATGAAGTGCAATAGGCACAGCCAATTTTCAGTTTTAAAGTTTGAACCATCTTTCCACCTTGGGCCAACACCAAGCTGGTAGCTAGCAGTGGCTTCAAAACAATCAAGTAGACATTGTGACATCTAAAGTCACAGCAGACCCAAAGGTGCCAACCAATAAGTGAGATCCCAAGAGATGCCAGTAAGTCCCTATAGGCAGGATGCAGCTATTTGAAGAAATCTGCATTCTTCTGAATGGTGATGCAGCCCTCCAAGCCAAAAAGCAATTGCAAAAATTGCATATATTGTGAATAAAAATGCATAGTGAAGACAACATACAAATCTCAGGGGTAAATTGTTTGCAAAACTATGTATTGCAAGAAATGTGCCCTAAAACTGACAAATTTTGCTGACAAATTTTGTGAAGGGCATTTTGTTGTTTAAATAATTACAAACTTGAGGTTGAAATGTGGTGAACTGAACTTAAAATATTGGGGAAATGAGCAACTGGGAAACTGAACAGCGGCAGGTTCATCAATCCCTAGCAGAGATGCAGAGAGATTTCTCTGAATATTTTGAATATTCAGCCATGTTAACACAGGTAAAGTCCACAGGAACCAAAATGGGACTTCATCCTACAACAGCACTTTGAACAGAGCCAAACAACACCATAAAAACGCTATTTGAGACATTTATATGGCGCTTCCTCATAAGCAGTTCTAAGCTGCGCAAATAAAATAAACCACAGAGAATAAAACAGTAAGATCGGGATAAATCAGAAAGCCAAACACTGCCTTTTAAATGCCTGCTTGAATAAGAATGTCTTTGACAGCTGCCTGTAGCCTTCCAGAGGTCGCTGGACTCCAACTCCCATCAGCCCCAGCCAACATGCTCGACAGACAGGATCATGGGAGTTGTAGTCCCCAACATCTGGAGTGATGCAGGTTTCCTACTCTAGCTCAAATTTAAGGAATGAGGTTTTCCCACCCCACCCCCAAAGCAAAGTTCAATAAGATCAGCAGCCACTGAAGGTGGCCAAAGGAGCTGTGAATTGCAGTATTGTGATCTGGGGGTACGTCCCCCCTTTAAATCTGTTGAAACTTGGAATCTTTTTGCTCTCGTCACCATTCACCAGCCTTCAAGTCGAGCAATGGGAGTCAACCAAGAAGCCTTGCTTGCCAAACATTTCTGTGTTGACAGCCAAGTTTTCACTCATCTCCATCCATCCCTGAGAGCGGGGGGGGGGGGTTGGGGGGGGGGAGAAGGATGGTAAAATCATCCTGCCCAAGAGGGCCTGGGATTTTTTTTTATTTAATGAAACTGGAGAGGCTGGCCACAGGAACTGCCCAGGTTTCACACGGCATGTTCCAATGGAATTAGTTCTTGCCAGATTACAACATGCCAGAAGGGGAAAGTGGAGTTATGAGGCAGGGAAAACTGCTACACCCAAAAGGTTTGGCGAGGAGTCAACAGATGGGTTTTTCCTGAAGAAGAGAGCCTGGTTTGAACAGGGCAGCTATCACAGCACTGCATATAAAGACACAGGGCCGATGAGTGTGCAAATGGCACACTCCTGGAGGTAGATTATTAGCATCATTGTTAAACAGCTCTGGGGACGCGGGTGGCGCTGTGGGTTAAACCACAGAGCCTAGGACTTGCCAATCAGAAGGTCGGCTGTTCAAATCCCCGCGATGGGGTGAGCTCTCGTTGCTCGGTCCCTGCTCCTGCCAACCTAGCAGTTCGAAAGCACGTCAAGTGCAAGTAGATCAATAGGTACCACTCCGGCGGGAAGGTAAACGGCGTTTCCATGCACTGTTTGTCAGAAGTGGCTTAGAAATGCTGGCCACATGCCCCAGAAGCTGTACGCCGGCTCCCTCGGCCAATAAAGTGAGATGATCGCCGCAACCCCAGAGTCGGCCACGACTGGACCTAATGGTCAGGGGTCCCTTTACCTTTACTGGTGAACAGATCCAACATTCAAACACACAACCAAAGAACAAATTTTATAGAGTGGGCAGAACATAAGAAGCTGCCTTAGACTGAGTCAGAGCACTGGGTCCATCTAGTTCAGTATTGCCTACACGGGCTGGCAGCAGCTCTCCAGCATTTCTGATGGGGACATTCCTAGCCCTACCTGGAGATGTCTGGGATTGAATCTTGGGTCTTCTGCATGCAAAGCAGATGCTCAATGCTGAGCTATGGTCCTCCCCACGTTTTTCATGCCAAACTTCTGCTAACAAGGAAGACTGTCCCAAGAGAAGTGCACTAAAGACAAAATCAAATGTATCCAAGCGCCACTGGTAACCCAGCTTCAAGTCAAGGATTCTCTCCAGGGAGACCTGGGAGTCTGTGGAATCCAAGCCCTCCCAGATTGGATTAAGACAGAAAACAAAAAGGTATCCAATCAGCATCAAAGGCGTCGTGAGATTTTGCCTTTAGCCAGCCCCTCTCTCTCTGCAAAAGCTTGTCAGCTAATGCAAAATACCAGGTTCTATTATATCATTCCCTCAAGGCAAATTCTTCAGCACTCCTCAGCTGGGAATGCCCACCTTGGAGAACTGCTGGCAGTCAGTGTAGGCAACCTGAGCTAGGCAGACCAATGGCCTGACTGTACAAGACAGTTTCGTGCGCTCCTGTTGCAATTTCAGTGTCACCAAAACCGGCACATCAAATGCAGCATGTCAACTTTTGTCCTAATTTATGTGATCCCTGATGGGTTGGACTCCAGAGGCGTCGAAGGAGAAAGCAGCAGCCATCAAGGGAAGCCTTAGCTTTGAACAAACACTTGTGCACCTATAGAAACATTTGTCCAGTCAACACAGTTCAGGGGAAAGTTGAAAGCCTATCAGAGTCACTGGTTACAGCCAAGATCATTTAATTTTTGCTAGACTCAAGAAGATCTCTTCTCAGTCCTTTGCTACAACATTTCCCAAAGCGTTCTTACAAAAAATGCCTGCGCCCCAAACATCCGGCCGATTTCAAACCAAAGCAACACTGTTCCAGGTCGTGACTCATTGGAGCCAGGCCCCAAAACCCATTGTCAAAGGTTTCGCAATAAAGAGGCAATTAGTGTTCACCTAGGAAAGGGTCAGGACGTGGGTGGTGCTGTGGGTTAAGCCACAGAGCCTAGGACTTGCCGATCAGAAGGTCAGTGGTTCGAATCCCCGCAACGGAGTGAGCTCCTGTTGCTCGGTCCCTGCTCCTGCCAACCTCGCAGTTTGAAAGCACGTCAAAGTGCAAGTAGATAAATAGGTACCGCTCTGGCAGGAAGGTAAATGGCGTTTCCATGCACTGCTCTGGTTAGTCATGCTGGCCACATGACCCGGAAGCTGTACACCGGCTCCCTCGGCCACTAAAGCGAGATGAGCGCGCAACCCCAGAGTGGGTCACGACTGGACCTAATGGTCAGGGGTCCCTTTACCTTTTAGGAAAGGGTCAGAGCTCATTGGCAGAACATCTGATCTGAATGAAGACAGCCTTGGGTTCAAAAGCGGGCATCTCTTGGTAGAACTGGGCAAGACCGCTACCTGCAGCCACGGAGTGTTGCTGCCAGTCCGTGTAGACAGTACTGAGCCAGATGGGCCAATGGTCTGACTCTGGGCTCAAGATAAGGCAGCTTGCTTCACTTTGGTGTATACGCATCACACTGAAAACTCTAGAAGGGTAGCAACTCTTCCAGATTCCCAAGGCAGAACCCTCTTTCGCAGCCACATCAAAATATTTTCACTCGATGGCAGGGGCCAGCTATTGACCTCTCTTGCACCCCCTGCCTTGTACAACATCTGCTCTGCCCCTGAACTGCAGGCACTCCCCACTTTTGCAACAAGCAGAGAGAGAGACAAAGTGGCTCAATTTGGCTCTCGCCGTGTCCACAGCTCCAGTTTCGTGCTTTGCCTCTCGAGTTCAGAGGCACAAGTCTTTTTGTTGGCTACGTCGCTCCAGTTTTTCTGCATTCGATCCAAGCTGGGTCTCTCCTCTTCCCGCGCCGCTACCCTCCCTGCCCCCCCCCCGGCCGATCCCCTCTCTCCCCACATCCCGCACAATCCCCTCGGCTGCTGTTTTGATTTATTCCTTGCCATCTGCATGCAGCAATGTTTTCTAGCGGGCAGATTATACAGGGGAGAGCAAGGAGGGCTCTGTGTGTGTTCTCTCTAGTTAATGTTTCCTGTGTGGTTCAATCTGCTCTGCCTACAGGTATGTTTATTTCACTACTCTAGCAAAACCGGCAGACTTTTTAATGGAACTGTTGATATTTTCTCTGGCTGAACTTCCTGGAGAGGAGAGAGAGAGAGAGAGAGAGAGAGAGAGAG